CCAACAAAACCCCCCTCCAACAAAACCCCCCTCCAACAAAACCCCCCTCCACCTCACGAATCAAAAGCACAACCAAACAAAACCAATGATGTACAACAGCAACACAACAACAAGTCACAAGAGTAAATCGCAACAAAATCAGCAGCAACGGCAACAAGGTAGCGCAAGGAATAAAAAAAATCCGGGAAAAGGGAAAGACGAAAGCAAAGAGAGACAAATCAACACTATTAGACGCAAATTAAACGGGCAAAAACTTCAGCTGTAATTTTTAAAAAGCCCAGTCAGACAGACAAAGACATGTTGTAACACAACAACATTAGCAGCAGCAGCAGCAGCAGCAGCAGCAGCAGCAACATCAAAAACTACGACAGCTACAACTACAATAACTACATAAATATTAACAACAACAACAACAATTACAGCAACGTCAGCGACTATTACAATAACAATATTAATAAAACACCAAAAACAACTTTGCAAACCTCAGCCCTCTAACATGTTAGGATTCTTTAGGAAGAACTACAAACAAGTCAACTTTACCCAGATGTGTTTTTCCCCGTGTCGTCCATTTCTCAGGGAGACTCACAGCGCCAGATCTCAATCGTTCTAGTTGCCGGTGCTGTACTATGGACAGACTTACGTTGACTAAAGAATGCATAATGAAACAACTTTGTGCACACATTTTTATCCCCCTCACTGATTCTCCCCCCAGCCAATCATGATCACGAAGTCAACACCGTCCAATGAAATTCCGTTTTGCGTCAAGTCTAAAATCAACTTCTCAAAAAGATGACAAATACACACGACAATGTTTTTTAAATTCTATTTTGGAAATCATATAAAACCCATATGCTTATAAAATCAGTCACCGGACAATGATTTTGCCACGGCTCTAAGTGCATTATGATTTTTTCCTTGCCAGAAACATGTCAGTGTTGAGATTGATTATGTTTCAACCTCCCCGCCCCCCACAACGATACTCCAATCGCACCCACCCCTAACGACACTCAACAGCGATTAGATTATCTATGTCTGGGGCATAGCAGTTTGGGGCATACACAGAAGACATGAGTTTGATTTCCGAGGGGAAAAGGGAGGAGAACATGATATCTCTGTCTTTCTGCAAGGACGCTGTATCTCTCTTCGCCTGGGCTTATCCCTCACAAGGAGGGTCGAAGCCCACCTCCTAAATGAGCTCAATTGTGTCGATGGAGTTTATCCCCCGTCGAAAACCATTGCAAGAAAAATGATTACCCGTTTTTCACTCTGTTGTACAAACCTTAACAGTAGTCTAACGCACACAAAAACGGATCTGAACCCCGAGTCAGCTAATCAAAAATCGAACGTCTTACTTTCGTAGCTCAATAAATAGATAGATAGAAAGTGGATAGATAATGCATACATTAAAAGATGGATAAATAGATGGCTAGATTTATAAATGAACAGAAAGAGATATAGATATTAAGGAAGAGAGAGAGAGAGAGAGAGAGAGAGAGAGAGAGAGAGAGAGAGAAGGAGAGGGATCAGCCTCAACAAAGCCGCTGCAGACACTACAATATTCCAGTTAACCTGACAAACATGACGTTGTGAGTTCAAAAATACAAAAACAACTTGGTGTGCTGGGGTCAAAATATTTTAATGTATGTTTTTGTCTCACAGCCACAAGCATAATGCTCATATAGTAAAAAAAAAATTAAAAAGTATAAAAAAAGAAAGAAAGAAAAAAAAAGAAAGAAAGAAATTTGTTACGAGTATAATCAATTGAGAACTCAACACACCAATTTACTTTTTTTCTGACACAGTTGGACAGCAATAACAAGAAAGTCTAATACACTCACATAAGCAGAACAAATTAAAGCAGGACATGACTCCTTCACAGCACCCTTTTTTTTAATTTCTAAAAAGTTAATTCCTCCAGAAGTCAAGGTTCAAGTTTGCAAATACGAGTAGTAGTTTACTCTTACCAACTAGACGAAGTGAGTTTGTTAATCAGTATAAGAGCAAAACGCATGTCCATTCCATAGTATGCAAATAGCTTGACCACTACACGGTCGCTGTTGGTGTGTCAACGAATGGACAACTAACCAAAAAAAACCCACAGAAAAATACTTGCGCCGCACTGTTTTGTTTTACTTTTTTTAATTCTCTTTTTCTTTTTTTGTGTGAAGATGGAAGCACTTTTGATCCCTATCGGGACTGAATGAGTTCGGGGAACAATTAATTATGAAAGACAGCAATGGCAACATGACTTAATACCTAGAAATAAAGTAACAGGAAAACAAGAACAGCTAACCAACAATAAAATGTATTGACAAAGGGTGCATTATAGATATAACATATAACATTATTACATTTGATTGGTCAAACAGGTATCCTAATGGGATGCTAGCACTAGTGGCAATGAGTGACTGACGCATGCCACTATCAGAGCGGGTAGGATTGCACTTGAACGTTTTGACCACTTCCTGCCCACAGGTCAGGTGGCTCATGATCCCAACACGTACGCCCCCCCCCCCCTCTTTAAAAAATTCTTCCTCACCCCTCCTCTAAAATCCCCTATATGGGACGGAAATTGTTTATGACGACTTTTTTAATGGCTCTCTTTCGATTTCTTGGTCAGGTTTTGCTATATTAGTGATTTTTAAATTATTATTATATTAGTGATTTTCTCCAAATTCAGTTCTCCACTGCGGTGATCTTGAAGACCCACACCCACTGGCAAGGCATTTTGCTCACAGCGATAGGAGGAACGGAGATGTCCAGCCCTCTGGGACTACGAGCATGGTAGTTGAACAAGGTCGGATACCCTAGAAGAGATACCTTGGTAGCAGAGGATACTTGAGGTAAATCAAGGCTGAGAGTCTCCGTGTCTGGCCAGTAGAAGACAAACGCGTACAGGGACGTGCCACTGGCATCTGTTTTCTTTGTGTACCTAAAAAGGGAGAAGGTAAGATAAACATGAGATTTAGAAACATAAAGTGGCAGTGTGTGTTATCGTTAAAAATGTAAAGGGCATTAATAGTAGACCTATAACTATTAAATGCTATTTCTAAACAGAGACATACGTGCAAACTGTGCCGTTAAATTTGAATACATACGCTTACTGACTTTCTATTTCGTTCGATGTGAAAATAAAGTTAGAGAGCAAATATACAAGAGTAAAATAAGCGAGCAAATGCCTCATTTGAGGATTTCAGTATTCAAGGATCTCTGTGGAGAACTGATGTGAACGCGGCAAATACATCCTCCTCTTTTCACAAAATACCTGGATACCTGGACGTGTCAGCTGTTGCTCAGGGGTTAACGACTAGTTACCCATCAATGTTTATGGTCGCTAGCGGCCATTTTACACTTTATCAAACTTACACCAGTCTACGCCTTGATATTATCGGTCCACAATGCTCACCGCTCATTACTCACCATACACCTTTGGTCACAGTCTCATTCTGGTAAGTCCAAGGTCTGGAAGCATAGACACCCTCGCCGTTGACCTTGAGCCAGGACCCCATCTGAAGAAGTCGCTCCTCAAATATCGGAGAAATTTGGCCATGTTTTGGAGGTCCAACATTCATCAGCATGTTGCCTCCGCAGCTGAAAAAAAGATAGATTAAAACCAAAGGTCATCTTACAGTCTGTATAAACTAAGTCAAAACTGGAGATTCACGCGTTTTCACAGGGTCCCGTCCCCTAAAAAAAATAATGAATAGGAAGTTAATTTTTTTTAAATTAAGAAATCCCAATTTCATCTTAATCTTCCTTGAAACAGACGGTGAGGTAGCCTAAAAGACACTAAAAACTGTCTTTACTTACCTTAGCTGAGAAAAGATCGAATAAAACCAAATACCAATGTACAGTTTTGTCTAAACCAGGTCAAACCTGGAGATTTAGGCAACTTAATAACCCCCCCCCCCCGGCCGCCAAACCCAACCGCACCCCAACCGTTCCAAATTACCATCTCAGTGTCCAGGCGACCTACGTCACATGTTCATTAATTCAACCTACCTGATAGTAATAACAAATGTCTGCAGCAGTTCCTCTATGCTCAGATAATCGGCCAATGGAGCATTTCGTCTATAACCCCACGATCTTTTGTCGATGGTCATCGCGTTCTCCCATTTATGTTTCTGAAGGACACCTGTAGGTATAGCAATACTTATTTAAATGGTATTTCTAAGATACGAGCTATGTATAGTGCGGTCAAAAATTCGTAACGCAACTTATTGTCAAATATCTCTTGAACTATAAAGCATAAAGCTCTCCAGCTTTTGCACACAGACTTGTATCAATCTGTCTTAACAAATCAATATTTTGGTAAACACGTGTTAGCTCTATTCTAAAAGTTCCGTTAAAATACCCAGCTTCTAGATCTATAGACTTATTAAGCTTAACAGCTGGGAAAACATCACTTTTAAAAGCAAGTCCGTCATTTTTTTTTCCAGTCGTGAGATTATGTTTATTGAACTAGATCTATGTTTTGAGAACCTCTAGTGAAAAAAAGTGTGCACTATAAATGAAAAGGTGAGCTGTGACATAGGCTATTATTATGCATACGCAAATCGTGTTTGAGAAGCGGGAAGAGCTGTGAACAATTCCATTTTCCGCGTGACGGAGATTTATAGCATTTCCTATAAAATTATGAAGAAAAGATTTTTAATCTAACCTCAATTGTCGCGGGAAAAAAAATGTGATATAGCTAAGACAAGTTAATACAAACCGCTGTGAAAAGTTTTGGTGATATTGATTCAACGGTTACAAAGATGTTTGACTTGCGCAAAGGTTTGTTTTAATTTAAAGTGAGCAAGAGCAGCGTACATATCAGACTCACTCTCTCGCCTAGGTACATTGTATCTGATGGCAAGATAAAGACAAGACGATCAGTTGTGCCACGAGTTTTTAACCGCGCTATAGTAACATTGCATGCCTGGTATTCAGACTATGTACCCCAAGACCATCACAAATACATTATGAATGAACACGGACACGGACAATGAAACATACGTATGCGGTGGGTGAGGAAGAGGGGGGGGTGAGAGAAGAAAACAGAATGGAGGTGGAGAACGAGAGAGAGAGAGAGAGAGAGAGAGAGAGAGAGAGAGAGAGAGAGAGAGAGAGAGAGAGAGAGAGAGCGATTGAGCGAGTGTGTGTGAGAGAGAGGCACAGAAAAGACAGTTAGGGAGAGAGAGAGAGAGAGAGAGAGAGAGAGAGAGAGAGAGAGAGAGAGAGAGAGTGGTAGAGAGTTATCGAGAAAGAGAGAGGGAGAGAGACAGACAGACAGACAGACAGACAGACAGACAGACAGACAGACAGACAGACAGACAGACAGACAGACAGACAGGCAGACAGACAGAGTCAGAGACAGAGACAGAGAGAAAGACCGACACAGGGAGATAGAGAGACAGGGGGAGAGAGTCAGAGAGAGAGAGAGAAAGAGAGGGGGGGGGGTCATTTCATATTTGTATTTTTGTTGGGGGGTTCATTTGTTTTGGGTTCGTTTCTTTCTTTTTTTATATATAAATATTGTAAAATGTCTTGTCGACTAACTTAGACTTACATAGTTTAGAAATGTAAAATTATTACAAAAGTCATTATTTCAGGTATTTTTAACACCGTAGCGGTGTGCATTTTGATGCATGGATGCATGTCATATGTAACAGATGAAGATCTAAGCAGTCTTCCTGGCCACAGCTTCGAAGTTTGCGTCGTTGGGCGGATGACAACTATAGACCATCATACTGGTCTGGTTGCTAGTGCATGAGGCAATGACCGAGTTTTGTGTTCTTGGCCAAGGCTGTTAAACCATTAGTTATTTGGAACTGCAAGGCTCTGGTAGCACCTCTAGGCAGTCTGCCCTTCAATATGGATGGCGTCCTGGCAAACCCTTGCATCTATATATTAATCTGATCGTCTTTTCTTTATTTTGCTTTCAGATACAATGTACTTGAGCGAGAGAGTGATTCTGATGTTTGCACTGCTCTTTCTCACTTTAAACAAACCTTTGCGCAAGTCAAACATCTGCTTTTATCCATCCTTCCCCTTTTTGTCGTCTATCCCCATCAAATTCCTTCGGATATGGGTGAGTACGTTGGTAGCAGGCTAGCACAGGCTGGGAGCTTTAGCACAAACCTGCGAGTAAGGTAGCCATAGGTTTTGGTGGTTTCATTACCGAGTTGAGGCGTAGGTATGATACGACAGCACCCGTGGTATATGAGCAGCCTTTTCAGAACAGCACTGCTCACCTCACAAGGGAAATGGGCTCTAAAAGATTCCCTAAAGAAAGCTCACCTTATCTACTCCGACTGATTCATCGCGATCAGTAAGGATGCAGTCGAAACAATAAAAGAAAGCAATCATTGCAATGGAGCTCAGCCGCTATGACCTCGATATCGTTGCTCTCAGTGAAACTAGCTTTTCTGATTAGGGACAGTTGAAGGAGCGAAGTGGAGGCTATAATTTCTTTTTAAATGGAAAGGTTCTTGTAGAGAAAGTTTGCCGCATCTAAAAATGGCTACAAGGACACCCTAAAAATGTCCTTGAATGACTTCAATATAAACACTCCAATATGGGATAGCAAGCTCCTGACAGACCCAGCTGGAGAGCTGCTGTCACAGTGAGCAGCAAATCATATGAGGCTTAACAAATAAGACATGATGAAACTAATAAAGAAGCTCGCAAGCTGCGGACATCCATAAGTGGAAGTGGACCTATCAAATATTTTAAAATGTGGCAAACTTTATTCTGACAGAATTGGTTTCATCTGCCACAGCAGAAGTCACAAGTCGTTTTAACCATAAATTCCTCTAACTCTTCTATTTCGCTGGAGAAATATTCTCTACAGCGGATGTATTGGTCACCGTCAGAATTGATGGACGGGCTATAATATCATTAGTATTAGTTTACCAACTCACCTGGGTTGTAGCGGTCTCCGCATGTGTAGTACCCTCCGTGTGTACAGTTAGCGCCAATTCCCCATCTGTCGTTTACAATAACTGTGTCCTTAACAGGGCTGAGAAACAAAAAAAGTATTTCTTGAATTAAATACAAAAATCTTGAAACGGCAAATGGCATGATATGGTTTAATAAAACACGGTGCGGTGTGGTATGGTACGGTATGGTATGGTATGGTATGGTATGGTATGGTATGGTATGGTATGGTATGGTATGGTATGGTATGGTATGGTATGGTATAGTATGGTATGATATGATATGCTGTGTCTGTTTCCGAAGAGTAGAACGAGAAACTAAAGACTATACGCATTTAAATAGTAGGATTTTTTTTCGTCTTTTTCTGACTATTGTCTTCTGCTACGAAGGCTAGCATCATAACGACTGTTTCAAAGACACAAGAAAAGCATAGTGTTTGGTATATCCATGTGCAGTACTAGAAGTAGAGACATTATATTGTGATTACCACAGGTGTTGTTATTTTGGTGTCTTTTTTAAGGAGATTCTTAATTATTGTACTCGAAAAGAGGACTTCAAGCCTATTTTCTGTATTTCATTTCATTTTCTATTATCTTTTTGGACGAGAAAAGATCACTGACAGAGGCAATGAGCTCTTCTTGATAAAAAAAAAGTGTAGCACTTTTTTTTATTACTTTCTGCAACAGATTCATCATCATTCGCTGTCCTATTAAAACGTTCATTGTCCATACTATTTCTCTCATCAAAAGGACCTGCAGGTGGAAGAAGTCCATGGTTCTCGTCCAGGGCCGCTGGTTTCAACGCTGATCGACAGTCACCAATCTTACATTCAAAATATTCGAATGCAAGTTCGATTTTATTTGTCCGCTTCTTGCCTTTACCGTTTGCCTACTGCTACTAACGTCGAAGCTGCGACCGTGAAGAATGTTTGGATCTCCATCTGTTACATATGACATACATCATAGTGCACACTGCTGCAGTGGAGAACAGCGAGGACCACTGAAGTGGTACACTGAAATCCTCAAGCATGCGACCGTTAAAGCTATGAGAGCTTCATCCGTCCCGACCGCTAATACCAACTAGGTATGCGCCCCCTGATGTCATGCTAAAACACCAGTCCATACAACGGGTAGTACTTGGTTACATGTCACCAGTAACAGGGATTTTCTCTCACCTGACAGAGACAGTAACAAACACAAAAAGAAGGAGATATAAGAACGATAGATGTTGGAAAGTAACGAAGGAGCAAGCCACACCAGAGCACTTGCAAACCATCCACTCCGTTTGCCAATTATATAACTACCCATACTGCAGTTACACTCCGTATGTGAATAGAGGAGGCCCATTCTACCTGTAGGTGTAGAGCCAAGCCAAGAAGTCCAAAGACTTCCAGTACTCAACTGGAGCTTCCCAGTCCCCATCAGAAAAGAAGATCTCAGGCTTGTAGGTCTCCACAATCTCATACATTTCAGGCATTGTCTTTAGCTGAAAAAAAGTTATATCTTCACTTGTGGTTTTCAAATGCATAATCCTCACAAGCGGGGATATTTTATTTTCAATTTTATAAAGAGCAACCCATATTTATTTCCAACAGGTCAAAAACTCAAAGAAATGAAGGCAAAAAAACAAAAGCATTCCCTCAAACATGCACACAATGACACTCACCGAAGATCCAAATTATTTAAGTTAATAATATAGTTACCAAAAAGTTACCCAAAATGCACACACAAATCGATTTGGGAACTCACATTGACAAAATCTTGCGTCTTAAATCCAGACTCCTTATCCTTCAGATACAAAGGGTGGAGCCACTCATACAGAACGTGATACAGGCCAAACTTCAGATCAGTCCTACTCCGCGTAGCATTCATGAGCTCACCTGAAAAAAATACAAGCTCTCTGATTTGGGGGCTATAAAAAATATCAGCCCTTATTTTCTCGTTAATGAGATTAGCAGTTAGGCAAGGCTGTGTTATATCCTCAGGCCTCTTCAGTGAACGTAAAGGGTGAAATGGTGAAATGGTATACGTTTAATGCCGCTATCAACACTATAAGGTTATTTAGGAGGCGGGGCCTCCGAGTTTAACGTCCATCTCCGAAACGAAAGAGCCACATGGGAAATGTTTGTAAAGTGCCTTTTCCAAGGACACAACGTCGGTCGAACCCCCGAACCTGCAATCTCACGACTCGGGTCCGATAGCTTAACAGTTCTAGAGTACCGACGGCATTAACGTAAGAAGTCATATCTTTAAATGTAAAGAAACCAAACCGTAGGATGGTATCTTTTTTTAAAAACCCAGTAAATTCCATTTGTAATCACATAACCGAATGTGAAACGATCAAACAAGTTAAAGCATTTCAAATATCTAGTACTATATACCAAAAGTACTACTGAAATAGCACGAAGAATTGCAATAGCAATAAGACATTTTCAATCAAATGAGATCAAGCCTGAAAAATAGAAAAACTACGACGACAGCGAAATACGAGTTTTGAAAGTCCGTGTTTGGTTAACGGCTGTGAATGCTTGGCAATTACCAAAGACAATGACAAGGAAATTGAAGTAACAGTATAGAAATTCAGGGGCTACTAAAATGTGGGCGTGCACAATTAAGCTATAGCAGGTTGAAGATAGTCAAGGGCATAGTAAATGGACGGTAGGATCTTTGGGTTGGTGAAGGAGGACCTTAAGCTTTTGTTTTCATTTTTTTACTTGTCACTTTGATTTCTAGAACTACATGTAAATATGTTTGTTAGTTGAACATCAATTTCTTTATCCTGCATTGGAACTAAACACTCAATTAATAATTTTCACTACTCCACTACAAAACCATTCAAAGGCACAACTCATTGGACGGTGACTAAACTAAAGTATGTCACGTTCACCTCCCTCAGGTTCACGGTTACAGCATCACTTAAAATAGTGGCAAGACAATGAACCAATCACAATTCACTTAAACACTCTGCTGGATCGCTCCATGGTTCACGTAATTTTGGCATAGAATAGTGTACAATCTATAGCGTTTATTTTTGACTGCCTACTGTGGGCTATGTTTCGTGGGTGCACATTTGAGATGCGCCGTCTTGATAATATAAATGTACCGTCAAACTCGCTTCGAGTGTCGTCATCGGTTGGGTTATCTCAAAGAGCGATTTATAGGTCAGGTTGTCACTGCTGAATGTCCTATTATGTTTAGTTAAAGCGTGTGGACTTAAGCATGGCATAGTAGATGTTTTACGTCGCTATTGACGGCGTCCGCGATGTAATATTTGGCTAGTGTTTCTTTCTGGCTTCTTTTATTTCATGTTTGTGGGTACTTTTCGTAATAAATCATAAAAAAATTTTGGGCGGCACTGCACAACTATGCTCTATGGACGAACCGCGTTTGAGAAATATGTCTTCTTATGAGACTGTTGAGCTTTTCGTGGAAGGAAAAGAAATCAAACGGGCACGGTAGTGCTTAAAGAAGACCCAGTGGAGTGCTCACAAATAAAAACAAAAAGAGAAACATAAAGTGTCTGGGACACTTCAATTGACACAAAAGCCCTGAACATCTTGTTGTGATCCGGAAATCTTCCTTAGGAAAAACGGAAGGAAAGACAGGCAGGCAAAGACAATAAACAACTTACTCTGAGAACTTGAACCAATGAGTGATGGGGAGATAACTCCACATTATATTTTTATAGCATCAGTGTAGAGAAATGAGTAGCAAACCATGATTGCGATGTCTGATTCAGATCTGACACACTCATAAAAGGGTCTTACCAACAATATCTCTTTTAGGTCCAACGGCCATTGAATTCCAGCTGAAGGAATATTTGGACGGCCAGTTAGTGAAACCTTCACAGTGTTTGCTCACGAAGACCACGTACCTTGAAGGAAAAGATTTTAACGTTTATTAGGTGACGTTCATGTATCAATGTGAAAGAGTTGCACATATCAAAAAGTCTGAATCAAAATATTGGATTTTTCTCTTAACTGTTACTTCTTTCTACGACATTTCTCAAACTACAGTAAAAAGCCTACTGGTATGAGAAAACTACTTTCATTAATTATATTTATGTTGAATCATTTTATTCAATTTATTGAATTCAAGATAAATTAGAAGGCAACACAGATCCAGTTTCCTTTGAAGTGGTGTTACATTATTGAATTTTATTTTATTGTACATGCTATACAAGGGTGGATCAGAAAGTTGTAGAAGGTGCTATTCAGCGGGTTAAGTATTTTACTTCAGTCACAAAGCAATACGTATAATTTATATGTAAATGTCTACTTTCGAATCAAATACTTGCGTTTCATTCTGATGTGATGTTACTCTTCATTATTTTATGACATTATAAACAAAAGATTCTTTGCGCTCTTGTGGAAACAAGATCAGATCAGATAAGATAAGACTTTATAGGAAATTTTTCTTGGCAGTACGGGATCGTAAAAAACACAGATCTATAAGAGCATCGTCGCCGCTGAGAGCGCCGGAAGATCGAGTTTTAAAAAAAGAAATATTTTTCAATATCTAAATCTAAATGCACTGTTAACATAGTGATTCGTTAAAACTGATTCATGAAAATTTGCGTAATGTTTGTGAAGAATGTGCTTATTCACAGAGCAAAATTTGTCGTAGGGTAATAGAATTTAGTGAGAGGAGAGATACAGTTTTGGATGACTCATGTTCTGGTCTCCAAAATTACTTTGTGAACGAGATAACCGTTGATGTTCTCGGGCACCATTTTCCGCAAGATTCCTATACCTTTTCACGTAACTTAATTACTTGTCTGGATTTTGGTTTGGGTCTGTATAAAATACCATTTCTGTGCATGTCCGTTGGGTACCCATATTTACTAACTGAGGAACTGAACATTGATAAGGTTATAAAATATGCCACTGGGTTGCCCACAATGATTGTACCCCATGGATCTAAACGACTTACAAGACATTGTCACAGGAGACAAACATGGATTTCAGTGTGTGTGTGTGTGTGTGTGTGTGTGTGTGTGTGTGTGTGTGTGTGTGTATATGTGTGTGTGTGTGTGTGTGTGTGTGTGTGTTTGTGGAAGTGGGGTGTTGAAATTCCATCAAAATGGCTGAATCGATGGTAGATCAACGAGAAAGGAGACAGACCTGTTATTTTGTGTCCAGAATTTGTCATTAGAAAAAAGCTTTTCGTTGTTTTGTTTTTCAAATGCAGTGGTCCTCTTGTGCGTGGTAATATCATTTCACTTAATACTACTTTGACTTTTTCTTACGAGGTACAAAACAATGTTGCCCAGGTTGAAAAATTTCGTTAATGGGTAGATATCAAAGATCACAGCTTCTCGCACAATGCTCCTACCCGAAAATGCCGCTCCCCTTAAATCAAAAGCCACAACTCATTGCATACAATTAAGAGCAATCGATCAAAGTTTTGCCCTATCGACCCAGCAGTTGGGACATAGCCCTTTGTAATGTCTGTTTTTTTTTCATATTCTGAAAGATAAGCTTTCTGGACGTAAGTTTGAACCACTCACGACCGAGCAAAAGTTGTCAATTCAGAGCTGGGAAGCATATTGGAGACTGACTATCCTTTCAGGAGTGGCTGTGGAGGCTGGAAACCCGCGCACAACTTGAAAAGAAATATTTCGAAAGACTGGTCCCTAGCATGAACCCTTTTTTTTGCGTTTTAGATAATTCATGACTTCTATTATATTTTTTATCTACACTCATTAGAGGCTTAACCCAAGTGTAAGCACGGTAATGAATATAAGTGTTTTAAAATTCTTTTATATACTCACTTTGCGCCAGCTTTTTCAAACATGTCTGCCCATTGGTTTGCGT